TTCTAATAAGACTGTTTGTAAAGCTGGATTTATCAAAACTATAATTGCTCTAAGAATTTATGCTTGTCTTTTTCATACATGTTTAATGAATTAGGATGTTCAAAATTATGTGTTTTAATAAGTATATTATCTCTACTATGGAAAAGTGTTTCTGTCAAATGGAAGATTCATGTCTTATTGCATCCTGTTATAAATGCCTGGCAATTTGAAAAATTTATCTGCCCAATGTTGCTAAGTTTTATTCCTTTTCCATGCAACATCAATTCAGGTAGATTTGGCCTGATTTGCTACTGTTGCTTTGGAGAGCAGGATTCTTATATCATCACAAAGCACTGTACCCAATGCATTGTGTAAGTAAAATATGCTGGAAAATATTTTGTTGAGATTTATTTGGATAAATAAATTTTGGACAAATATTTTGATGACTTTTAATTTTTAAAAGTTTACTTTACAAGTAGAGCATAATTCTTTAGCACATGTGCTCCTGCTTAACACAACAGAGAGTTTTGAAAATAATCTTCCCATTCTGGCAAATATCTCAAATAAGAAGTTTTGAGAGAAAATTAAGTCTAAGGGGATATCACTCAAATCCTGCAGTTCTGTGTAATGGAGCCCTAAAGGAGAGGGATGGGTGAGGTGAGGAATCCTAGTGAAACACTAGAACATACACCTTGAGGATTTGTGGGTCCTGTAGGAATTTCCTTCTAACAGAGAACACTGTCATAAAAAACAGCATGAATCAAGATACGCCTCCTTTGTTAATGCATTATTTTAAATCTAGTAGTGTCCTTACAGTTCCTTCATCTACACTCCAAACTTTTCTAGATAAGCTTAGTTCAGTGGAATGCATTATTGTTTAAACCATTTAAGCAGAACTTATACTATGAGGAGGTATTGTGCAGATTTTAACCTTTTTTTTCTTATGATATTCATGCATTATTAAAATTTTGACTTTGTTCATAAAAAAGCTGGTGTCCAATTACTGAAACCCAGAAATGTGTCGAGGGAAAAAACCTTAAGACTAATATAATTCCAGATTTCTACCAATATTATTTACTCCCTTATTTACCAACTACATGAGAGTAAATTATCATAAAAGAAAACAACAAACTAAAATTGAGATATTTTTAAGAAGGGTTTTCTTAAAAGCTATGTTTTTAAGAGAGAAAATAATTTCTATGTATGTAGTTTAAAGTTTTTAATAAATTTAATTTATTTTTTCAATTTATTAAATTTACATTCATTTTTACCCAATGCATAAAAATGTTAAAAATCATATGTTGCTTCATAAATTTTGCATGCAATTTGATCCTCCTAAACAATGTTATGAAGTTATCTAACTCCCGACCATCCTCAGTGTTACTACCAGAAATTTATAGAAAGTCTCAAATTGTTCAGGGATACATTTTCTCTCTCTCTCTGCATATTGGTTTATCTTTATCTCTACCTCTATTTCTATTTGCCTAGAAGATTCAAATGCAATAATTCTTTTGTAGAAATTAAAATATCCAATTTTAAATAAATCAGCGAAAGTTAACACTATGAAAAGCGATGTTTTCACTTTTTTTCAAACTTGCAAGGTGGAAGTAAATTATGTGTGAACTCCCTTGAAGTGGAATTGGGTGGTTCACAGAAGGAAGCACGGTTATGTCAACACGATCACTAATATATTAATGACTGGGTAGTCAGAGATGTGCGTGATGATAGGAATCAGAATGCCGAAGTACTGACGCTACTACCATAAAGTATATCATTATTTTTTCTAACTAAACTAAAACTTTTACTCTTGGACCTTAACTTTTACAAGGTATCATCTATTCCAAAATGTTATAAAATAGCAACCCTCTTTACTTTGATTAATGATACATTGTCAGAGTGATGAATTCTTCTAGAGTGTAATTTGAAAGATAATATCATTCTAAGGGGGGAAAAAGTTCAGATAAGAATGGAGAACAGTTAGCAGATGAAATCCTACCATCACACAGTGTAGTGAAGGATGTAGGAGAAGCTGGAAATGCTGGCAGTAAATCACATCCTTTGGCTCTACTTTAAGCTTCCGCCCTGCAGTGAAATATGTGATTTACTTTACTATGTGCTCTCAAGGCTGTTTTGGTTTGATTTTAAAATATTTTTAACATGTAGAACAGTTTTGCAGGTAATTTTATAGATTTCTAGTCCCTTTCTCCTCTTATTGATGCATACTGGTAGTGCTATATATGCATTTTCATATTTAGAAGATGAAACATTTTTGAGCTGTTTTAAAATTCAAGAATATTTCATGAATATATAATTAAAATGTGTATTTTAAATATTGTAACACAATTTTGTTCATTGATTATTACTTAAACTGATAGTTAATATAAGTGAAGGATTTGTGTGTGTGTGTGTGTGTGTGTGTGTGTTGCAAATCTAGATGTTTTCTTTTAAATTCACAAGAGTTATTAGGGATATGTTCTCAACTATTAATAGCTGTTACCTTTAGGGATTTCTGTAAATGAATTATGAGGAACCTCCATTTTCTTACATTTTAATATGGTGTGGCTGTAATTTAGTGTCACTGACTTGGTGAAATATAAAAATGAATAGGTATAAACAAAATGAAAAAGTCAACCACCTAATTCTTGGATAGGCAAAGGTGTAAAGAATGATAGCTTTGTGGATTTTTTTTAAAGGAAGGAACAATATTCAGATATATTAGATATAACTTAGTATGTTCATTTTCAAGAAACCAAAGGAAAAGATCATGTTTTACATAGTGAAGGCTAATGTGAACTTATCAGGGAAAAATTGTTGGGGTTTAAAGAAGAAAGAAGGCTTGAATTTAGTTTAAACCCCAACAATTTGTAGCCATATGATTTTGACCTAGGTACTCTGAATTTCGGATTCTTTGTTGATATAATGGAAATCATAAATATCTGACTTTTTGTATCATTGATTTGAAGTTAAGAGAAATAAAATATAAGTGCAGTCTTACATTGAAGAAAAATGTCATTCAAGTGTATTATATCCTAGGAAACAAACATATCCATTTATTTGCATTTTATTTATATCAGTTATCTACTAAATAAACAGGTTTAAGAGACTCAGATAAAAATTTAATTGTATGAATTGTCCACAAAGTTTATCATATTTTTAGCAGTAAATTTAAATTCTTTCCCATTTTCAAGTTGTTTGAATTATGCTATCTAGAAATGTTAACTTGTTGAAACACTAATAGCAGGAATAATTTTAGGAAAAGAATAATATCTGTTTTATGTTATTTAAATAAAATATATTTGATAATTCGTATCTTACCAATTCTATATAATTCCATTAAATTAATACTATTGACTTTGATGTTTTATCCATATAAAATTAAAGCTGAACATAGTAAGTACCTTTGAAATTAATAGATTGTTTTGGGAAATTTGAAATCAGGCTCGGGTTGAATTACTGCGCTTTAAAATTGGAAAGTTTTGGAGCAGATATCTCAGGCCTGTACACAGCATGGACAACAATATATGTACATAGGTCATGTTAAACATATTTTCATAGATATTTTATTAACTCAGTGTCATACTTAAACATGCTAGTTACATTGATGTTCACTGATTTTTTTGCAGGATCAGACTCCAGTGAATTTGAACAGATTTTCAAAAGGTCATAACTGGAAAGTTTCAATGTAATTGTAGCTATCTAAATTGGTAACTAGGTGAAAACTTTGAAATAGTACGCACGTAAGAGTATAAGATAATTACTCCTGATCATTGCTGTACTTTTTCTGTCTTGAAGACATTTACTAAGAGAAAGATTTTCATCTTTGTAATGCCAGGTTCTCACAGAGCCTCTGGCTCTTCCCCTCAGATTTTAGTTCAAGCTCAGACAGGATCCTTGGGCAGACCAGAGACATTGCTGTGAGGAGACCTTTCAGAGAACAGTGCCTTTCCAAAATTTACCCGTTCCTCAGCAATCCCTCTGAAACATGTCCAAAAGAATTCTTAAAATTCTCAATTATTTATTTTAATTATGCAACACTTCTGCTTCTTCCTACACTTTATTTTTACTATATATACTATTTGTCAGGCAATATAGTGGCCATGCAAAAGTTTTTTTTTTTTTCTTTTTTTTTTAACATGAGTTTTTCTTTTGTGTGCTTTTGTGGTATGGTGGGATAGAAAGATGCTGAAAAACGATGCAAAATTCACGTAGTGCTGCTAAGGTGCTTCTCAGCAGGTTACATCCTACAAAGGGGGGATACTTCATAAAGTTGGGAGGAGGAAGGTGCAGGGAAGAGTTTCTAGCCCCGTGGGAGTGACTTGGCAGGATTCAAGAAGGAGGAATGGGCATCTGCCAGATAAAAATAATGGAGGAAGGAAGGCCTTCCTGGGTGTGAACCTTCTGAGCAAATGGATACAATGAGGAGCAGCCTGCAGTTGCCTAGGGTGCTATGGATGTAGACACTTTCTGATGTACTCGCTCCCATAGTGTGTACTTTCTAAAGATATGCCCAGGAATACTCGTTATTGCTTATTCAGGTTCCCAGTAGAAAGGAGATACTAATCGTTTAGTGCAACAATGTGCACAAAATAACACATCAATCTATGTGGGGTTCACATAGTGGCTACAAGTCATTAGAATTATAGATACCTGGGGTCATTTTCCAGCTCTGCCCTTCATTATGTGACCAAGTTATGAAAACTCTCCAAGCTTTAGTTTCTTTATTCCTCATAAAGAAATAAAAAGTTAATGTTTTAGTGTTAACCCAAGGATGAAGTAATACAATGTTTGGAAAATATTTAAAATAGCATGAGCCCAAATTAGTGCCTTCAGTTGATGGCAGCTGTTGCTATTATATTGGTTGATAAAAATATCAATTTGTTCTTTTTAGATATTAATTAGAATTCACTGAATTTTGTGAATCATGGGATGTCAAAAATTTGACCTAAAGTTTATAAATTACTTAGGCTGAGTATAGGGTATGTTTACAAGGATGTTTAGTCATAATTTTCCTTTCTTAATAGGCAAGATCTCAAGTATTATCCAGAGTGTTGGATGTTGCCCATGAGTTTATAAAGGAGGTCAATCCAGATGAAGCCAAAGGAGGGAACAATTCTATGAAAGAGACCAGTGTGACTCAACATGTGACCGAAGTTCTAACTCCGAAAGGAAGCCACTCTGAGGTAAGCTGAGGAAAACGGAACTGGACATGTTCTGTCTTACGTGGCCGTGGTGCTGGTCTGCATACTTTTATCTAAACATGTAGAGTTTTGGAGATTATTTTATCACTTTGCTAGATAATATGGATGTGGTTTATTTTATTAGTCAAATATATCTTGACTACAGAAATATTTTTAAGGAAATTGCTTTGATTTCACTGAAAACTGATCATTTTGATGAATGATTTTGTCCATATGACTTTCTGAGCATTTCTGCCATGTCAGGAATTGAAAGAATATTTAGAGAACATATTTAAATAAGAAGCAGAACATAATGTGACTATTTGTATTAGTTACTATATAGACTAATGTAAAAATACAAAATTTACCAAGCACTTTAGATGACAGGCAATTTTGCAGTCATTTAAAACCAGATTCTGGCAGTTATTCAGACTGACTATTAATTATACAATGTCCTAGATAAGCTTTTAGCTGTGTATTTCTGTATTTTTATAATAGACTAGCACTGATTCTTGACCAAGAAACATATTGCAAATTTTGATTGAGGTTATAATCCACATTCTTTTGGAGACCATTTACCTTTATCATGAAGTTCAGAAACTGCGAATCTCTTAGGCAATCACACAGTCTATGTTGAATTTAATTCCGTTAATTTTCAAACTCATGCTTATAGAATATAACAACAAATATATCCTATGCCACTGGGACTTTTTCCCAAAAGAGGAATCATGAGGTGTGATAAATAAATATAGTGAGTGTTCAAATTTTAAGAAAATTATCGCTGTAGAAGACGTTTTGCTATTAATTCATCTCAATTTATTCTCCTTTTCTTCAAACATACTCATCCAAACATTGCTGGGAGCATTTCTGGAGAATTTCTTGGAGTCCTTTTTTGTGGTTTTAGTTGTGCTGTCATGGGTGCTTCAGTGTTCTGAATTGATTCGAAGCCGTTCATGATCATGACTTTTTGGAAGAGCTAGAAGTCTCATGGTACCAGATCAGCTAAATGAGATAGAGGAGGACACACCATAATGTCCTTCACTTAGATGACACTCACTGTATTTTTTATCACACCTTGTAAAGAAATGAAAGAGGACATTCTGAACTGCCTCAGAAAGTGGCACTAAGTGTGTTTGGAATGAGGGGAGGTATTTGAGGGGACGGATACCCATGTCTTTTACTAGAATTCATTTATAAATATTTTAACATTTACCGCATTCCTCAACCACCACTCGTGTGCTTGAGTGTTCTGAGTCAGTCGGCATGTTTTCATGGATTTCACGAAAGATCTGGTGTTCTGTGAAGAACTGCTGAATGAGTTTCAGCCTCATACTTACTGATACTATTCTGTTGAGAACCAAGCACTATCATAAATATTTTATACATATCATCTCATTTGGTCTTTTCTTAAAGTACACTTCTTTGTCAGATGTCGGATCAGTGGCAAAAAAGACTTGTATAAGTTGCCCCAGGTATCACCTAATAATAGAACTTTGATTTAAATTTGATCTTCTGACTTCAAATTACCTGCTTTCTGAAGAAACTATATCAGTATGTGTTTTTGTTTCATAACATTTATATTCATCTCCGGGACTAACTACGTGTGCTTAACATCCATCCTTTTTATTCCCATTCTTCTCCCATTTGTTTGTTCTTCCTCTGTCTCTTTATCTCCTTCCTTTTTGCTAATTATCTTCTAAAGACTATGCAGAAGTGTGGTTTTAAAGGGTTCTCTCTCATTTCTTCCATTTTATCTAATGTATCCTGTGAGAATAACAATAATAATTCAAGATAACACTTATTAAACACTTTATTGTAGACATAGTGCTTAATGCTTTACTTATCTTATGTAATAATCACAATCACTATGCAAGTTTTGTAATGTTATTACCTCTATTTAATAGATGAAAAAGACAAAGTTAAGTAACTAGCCAAACTCAAAAGCTATGGAGTGGAGTCCTTTGAGCTTTTATGTTTTATTTTTTTAATTCATTAAGTTTATTGGTACAATTTAGGTATACCACATGATGACATTCATCATTGGGCAGGAGAAAGGGGAGAGAGAAAAGGGGGAGAGAGAAGAGAGAGAGAGAGAGAGAGAGAGCAATCTTTTCTCTTTTTATCCTCTCAGAAGATGCCATTCTACTAGACTAAGGCTTTACTATTATGACCTCATTTAAGCCTGATTGCCTCTCTATAGGCCCTGTCTTCAAATAAAATTACACTATGGGGACAGTAGAGGTTCAACATGTGAATTTTGGATGGGGGCATAATTTAACACATAATAATTACATGTTCCATGCAATCTCCCACCTAAATATTTATTTGAATATTTGATCACTTATTCTATCCTTATTGCCATTTCAAATACCTCAACTCGATTTTTTCTAAAAGGATCAAAAGGTTTCCATAGAGAAAAGTGCATTTCATTCTCTCCCTTTCTGGAGTCAGTCAACATTTCCAGTTTTGTATGTATGTGTTTCTTTGCAAAATGTTAATCTACCTTGCATATTGGTCTAAAAACATGGTTTTTACATTTTAAAGTGTAGTTTGTTTTTTAGCAGCCCAGAAAAACTTTTTTTTCAGTATCAGGAAAAAAACTCAGGGCCTCTCACTTGCCAGGCAGGTGCTGTATTGTTGAGTTACATCCTAGGCCTACTGAAAATATAATTTTTACATCCATATCAATACATTCTATAACCTTCTCTTTTCAAGGGCTTTTTCCCAGTACAACCATAATATAAAGTATAAATTTGAAAAAAAAATACATATGATAAAATCCTGAAATTCCTGAAGAAGCTTGGACATTTATAATTTTGGTCAATATGGCCAAATGTCTGTGACATTTTAAGTGGTTAGGAGAAGAATAACTGTGTGAAGACGTGGAGAAAGGTATATCCTTGAATGTAACTAGTGCAAAGTCCTGAAAAGAATGTGTTTCATGGGTTCCCAGAACTGTAGGAATATAAGTCTGGCTGGAGCAGCGTGAATGGAGGGGCGAACAGGAGGTGCTGAAATAAACACAGGGCATCATAGGGCCTTGTGGGTCCGTGTTGAACACTGGCACTTTAGAGTGAACAGTTTGGAGTGGGGAATGATACAAACAAATTAGCATGCAAGAAAACTACTTGTTCTACCATGAGGAGGTTGTAGGGAGCAGGAGCTTAGGGGAGGAGAAGAAAATGGATACAGACTGCTGCTGTTTCATAGAAAAAACATAGTTAACAGCACAATGACAACTCACTTATGTTTTAAAGAAAAGAGTCAAGTATTTCTATAAGTACACCTTAAAACCATTGGATTTCAAGGTGAACCATGCCTGAGTCGTCACACTAATAATTAGTCTCATTGCATTTTTACAGAAAACTTAATAAAGTTTCACTAAATCCATTTATAACTGGTTTAGGTAGAAATTACAACAACAGAAAGAGCTGAATGTGCAGCGCCAGGAGATAGGCTCTTGCATGAAGGGTCATTTGATGAAGAAGCTTCTGCGCAGTCCTTTCAGGAAGCATTAAGTCAGTGGAGAACTGGGAGCTACGAGAACCAGGAGAAACAGAACTTATGTTCAGCAAAACCAGGTGTGGCAATTATTCTTACTTGTGCCTTATAACATATGGTGACTTTATTTTGTCTCAATTATATACATGCAGTGTTAAAATGCTTTACACGCAAAAATTTGTTAGAACTTGTCCACGAAGTAGACACTCTGTATGACCACTGGTGAGTGATTTCATATTCAAAGGCTCTGAGTTGGGCACTGGTGACCAATTTATTTACTATGTATAATCAGATCCACAAAGGAAGGTAGTATTGGATTCTTTCAGCTTTTCTTCTCCTATTGTCATAGGGACAATCATTGCATTTTAGGATTATAATGGCAACATGTAAAATGGAAGACTCTGTCAAGTAGAAAGATAAAAGTTTTTTATATATCTACCATATAGTGTGATTTCAAGGATCACTGTGAATTTTAGGTAGAAAACTGATTCATGTCTGAATTGCTTTCTCTCTTTTGAAGATCTATTTTTATTCTCTATTTTTTCCTTGACAATTGTCACTCCTATATTCATTGAAGGCATTGAAGATCTCGGGATAACTGAGTACACAGTGTCTTTGCTTTAGGTTATCCAAAACATTTCTTGAAGAAAATCATGTATTTACAGTACCTAATTTATTAGTTTTTAAACTGAATCTTATGTTATCTTTCAGTATGTTCTTGTTGAATGTAAGTAAGCTAATAAATTCCAATTGTGTCTTTCTTATAGAGGCACTCAATTTTACTAGGTTTAATTTTTTCTAGAGAAAAAACTTTGGATTACTCTTCTTTTACAATATAGTATAATTCTTAATGTCAATGTATAACACACCATCTTCCCAATTATAATGAGAATTTTTAGTAAATAATGTTCTCATCTTCAAATAATTTTCCTACATTTGTTCATGATACGCTATTTATAATTTCATATTTTTACTTTTTACTTTTTTTTCTTTTTATTGAGTTTATTGGTACAATCTAGGTATACAATACAGTTACATTCATCATTGGGATTCTGTACCTTTACATAATAGGTCTTGATTCTCATTTTTTCCCTTGTCCCTGCCCTCCCTTCACTCCACCCTTCCCTCCCCATTTACAAACACTTTATTTCCATTTTTTCAGTTTCTCATATTATTTTCCTCTTCTTTATTACTTTTCCCCCACCCTTCCCACTTTCCCTACACCTTTAGCCCTTTACTTCCTATTTCACATTATTAATTATCTCATTAGGATCCTGTGTACTATTATAGTTTTTCACACCAAAGAAACTATTCGGTATTTCAGTTAAGGAAATCCCTGTATAAACATTAAAAATAGGGAATCCTAAAATAAAACTAAAAAGGAAAGTAAAAGAGAAAAGGCAATGATGTAACATTAAAATAATCCTTAATTCTGGAGATGAAAATGGTCCCTGAACATATTTAAATTGCTTCTTGCTCTTACAGTCTTATCTTATTCTTTTTTTCATTATTTAGAGAATACTTTATTAGTTTCTGTAATCAAACCCACGTAGATATGACCTTACATATTTAGTACCATGTGTTAGCCCCGTACACATGGAAAAAAATGAAAATAAAAATAAATTAACATTTCTAGACCAATATGGTTGTCCATTTCTGTACAATGCCATCTCAACACAGTAAATTGGGATGACTTTTTCCAAAGTTGGCAGCGATAGAATACAATTCTCCATGTGACAGGAGCCCCCCAAAAAACAGGGGTAGCAATTTCATTTGCAGACAAAGTAAATTTCAAACCAAAACTGAATCTAGTATTATTGATGTAGGACGGTACTATTATCATACCTCTATGAATGTAAAATATCTAGTACCTGCTTTATGTTACATAGTAGGGACTGTGCTTTATCAGAGCTACATTTAATAATATTACTCTAGAATGTTCTCTTTCCAGATGATGTTTAAGAGGCTAATAGAAAAAATGGTGCCAGGTACCACAACAACAACAGAACTTTGCTGTTTTCTGGATATTATTCTTTTCTTTTTTTTTTTTTTAATGAAATGTGCTGAATGTCTATAATTTTTTTCAGATAACTGCAGAACCTGGAAAAGCTGTTGCTGCTATTGATGCATAACATACTATTATTAGTCTTTTTATATAAATATATATATGCATATATATATTTTTTACTTTTCTACTGAGATTCTGTCAACAGCTTTAATATAAATATATTATACAGTATCTTTTATAATATTGCATAAGGTTCTATATAAAGTGATTTCTTGATATTTTATTTCTAATTCTCAGCAGTGTAAAGTTTTTCATGGCCACTTTAGGCACTTTTTTGCAATTTACCCAAAGATAATTGTGTAGGTGTTCAAGTAGCGTAGATATGTTATATCCATAGTGATTTGTAAAATAAAATTTTGAAGAATATTTTCAAATTATCCTCTAATAATTTCTCTTTCCGGTCAGTTATACCCTCATGGTAGTGTAGGAAGTGGCTATTTCCCCATATTTTCTAATTTCTTAGCCTGATGCATTGTGATAAACAATGAATTATTTTTTATCATTTTAATTGTCACTCTCATTTAAAAAATAAGTATAGGTTATTTTTTCAGGACCTTGCCTTTTCTTTTGCCATTATTTTAAAAATTAAAGTTGTATAACACGTTTTAGAGTTTTGCAACATTCTTCTTATGATAATTGGGTCAGTATGTATTATGTGCTGAGGGAATGTAATGTACCAATGCAGTCAAAACATATTCTGGAGCTTACTGGTGAGATGAGGTCAAAGCGTGAATCCAGTGATTATTGTAACTTGAAGGGAGAAGTGCACAGTAAATGCCCATACCAGGTTCAAAAAGGACATACTGAAAAAACTGTAGCACCTTGTCAATTGTTTCAAGTAAGGCTAGAAAGCAAGTATAGGAAGAGGTTTTTTTTGTACTAGAGATCAAACTCAGGACCTTGTGCTTGTGAGGCAGGCTGAGGAGTTTTCAGAGGGACAAATTAACGATGCTAAAATCTATGATAAATTCAAATCAGATTCATCAATATATGTATGTGCACACAGGATTTGTGTCTCACTGTCTTGGCTAAAGCACCTTGGGATTGGCAGTAGCAATCTGCCAAGCAGATTAAATTCCTGGAACTGATTTTACAATGAAGGACATTTTTCAAGGCAAGAAGTTTGGTTCTGAGAGATGAGAATGTTGCAGTTGACACAGTGCCTCATGCTCAGCTGTCCTATAGCTATAATCTGTGAGTGCCCAGGGGATCCTCTCATTACCATCATTAAGCACCACAATCCTTACAAAAGGCTGTCGTGGCTTTCTTCTGTATGTGAAGGATAATTGGTAGGGGGTGCTTCAGTGGAATTGATTTGCCTGAATTCAAAGGAATAGTAGGGACCCGGAATGGCAGAGACCAAGTATTGATAGATAAGCATAAAAATGGTGGTGGGAAATTATCAAAATGTGGAACAAAGAAGAGTAGTAACTGAATGCTTCAGTTTGCAAATATCTATGATACTATATGGGGTAACTGGGAATGAAAACCTTAAACAGCCTAATGGTTTATGTCTACAAAGTTTCTGTCTGATGGACAGAAACCTGACTTGGTTACTACACTGGGGTATCAGTTTTGCAATGTTGCCAGAGCTAAGCCTGTCCATAGATCTGGAAGCCCTTGACTGAGGAAGGAGCTGATCTATATAGGGATCCTGCACTGTGGCAACTGGTGTTAACTGTGTATCTTACTCTAAACCTTCACTTTATCTCACTCTAAACCTGCTAGGGTAACTGTGCATGAAGAAAGGCAATGCACAGAGCTTCAGAGGCATTTTTAGATTCTAAATTTGAATGGACATTTCCCCCTGGGTATCTTAAATACTTCTGTAGTCTATAAGTTAGTGTGAAAAGTTGATGGAGGTGAGGTGATTATGGAGTCTTATCTTCGATATGACTCATATTGGATGACTCAGAGTGTGGGTGCATCACACGGTTATTTTCCCAGATCAGAATACATACTGAGAATATATCATAAGGGAAAGATTCCCTACATTAGTAGTCCTACCTATTGCATAAATATTGTTACAGTAATGCACAAGTTAAAGATTTTAGAAGTGCCTTCACCCTGTATTATGCACTAAAGTAAATTCCTGAGGAATTCTTTAATTTGGGGGAAAGTGTAGAAATAAATGCTATCACCACATATTTGAAGATGGAGGAATATAGAGTTTTTGAAAAATTACATTTAACTTCCTTATTTGGGGCAAAATTTCCAAATTATGGAAGTCATTGGATTGTAATAAACTTTATCAGATGAAAGTGATACTAATCACAGTTGATATTTTGGATGCTCTGTCTTTATTGGAGAGAAAAAAAGAAAGCCACTGACCGACCACAGAGCTTGGGTGATGTTTTTTGTAATGAGGTCACTCAGAATTACTCAGCTGGCTAACCTTGCTATTTCAGCAGGAAACTAGTGATATATAGTGCTTGAATCAATAATTGTGTCTGTGATAAAATGAAATTTTACTTATGTACCCAGAAATATAGCCATATGAAAACAATTGGCCAGGTTTAGCAGATGATCTGTACTTTGCTGAGCTCTGATCTCGAAGATACCTTTTTTTTCTATTTCTATCAATAAAAATTGTCAGACAGTTTTTTTTTTTCTGTGTGGCAGGGATAAGTGTATAACTTCACAATATCATTCCACAGCTCTGCTAATTCTCCTGCCTCCTAGCATTATGTAGTCTGAAAGGACCTCGATCATTTTGAATTGCACAGAACAATGCTTGGCCATTAGATGGATGCCATCATGCTAAGTGGATTTCGTGAGCAGCGACCATATATTACAGGGTGATTATATTCAAACCTTTCCATAATTGAGGGGGCAGTGATTTGTCCTCATGGGGACAGCTACATATTTCAGAGATGGATTTTCTATCTCTGCTTACAGTGTGTCTGCCAGGGGGGAGCCTTATTTATCACCATGATATCCTCTTAAACACTGCCTCAGACCAAGACACTCATTTTATTATGACAGAGGTCCAGCTACTGCCCGCAGAGTTCA